ACACACACACACACACACACACACACACACACACACACACACACACACACAAACTCGAAATCTGCTAGGTAGTATACTGTTATTTTATCTTAGTTGTTTTGGGCTTTTTAAAAATAAATCTCACCTGTATAGGCATTACATTCATAATACATCAATCAGTAGTCTGTTTTTCTTATCACCGATGTTGTGGTTCTCGTGGCCTAAAGGTGAAGGTGTTCGCCTCTCATTCAAAGGTCCCGGGTTCGAATCCTGGGAGCGACCGAAAAACTTTCTTCTCTAAAATTGTCTCCTTTCACCTCCTTTCCAGCTGCTCTCTAGCAATGTTCTGTCGTTTGCTCATATAACCGTATGCAGTTGCGAGCGCCGTAAAAGACCCACCGTGGATGGTTGGCGCGTGCTCTGTTGTGGTTTGCTCCTTCTTTCCCATCAAACATATATCGTCATTATTTCCCCTTCTTCTTTTTTATTGTTACTCCCTTGTAACACCTCTAATCTTAGGCACTTATATGACCTTATTGTGTTGCAAGTTCCGTACATTTCTAACTAGCATTATAGCACTGAAATCATCTATCGTCCTTATCTTGCCTATTTCTTTTATGTTTTTGACACTCTCTTTCAAAGCCTTTTCTAATCTTCGGCACCTTTATGACCCTATTCAGTTGCAAGTGCCGTAAAACTCTTACTAAAGAAAAGAGTCTTATTTAATACCGCTGATCTCCGGCACTTCTATGACCTAATTATGCTGCAAGTGCCGTAAAGCTCTTACTAAAACAAAAAATAACGAACGAACAAACAAATAAACAAACAAAACAAACTACATGTACTGTCACTGCTGTTTCACCCCTCGGGGCGGTGCCACTGACTGAAGTGTCTTTAGGCCATTTCCAAAGGGGGGACATTTCTCATTCTAGTGCACAGTAGAATTGTAAATGGGCTGATATGACAATGCCATGCTCATAACTGTGCCTGAAATACAACAGGGAACTGCTGCTTTTTCTTTCCTTATCCTTTCTATCGTCACTTTCCTCTACTTCTTTTGTATGTTTGTCACACTTGTTGTGACCCACTATTTCCGGGCTGCCTTGATAGTCGAAGCAGACTTTGTGCTGTTGAAGCTAGAGAGGTGAGCAGCGTAAGTCTGATTCCCTGTTAGGACTTCTCTCTTGACACTCACCCCTTGGCGCTCATATGACCTTATGCGTGGGTGGTTGGTGGGTGCTCTGGTGTGGTTTGCTTCTTCTTTCCTATCAAACATCTATCGTCCTTATCTCCCCTCCTTCTTTTTTATGTTTGTTACTCTCTTGTAACACCTCTGATCTTCTGGCGCTCATATGACCTTATGCAGCTGCGAGCGCCGTAAAACGTCTACTAAAACTAACTGACCTTATGCAGTTGCGAGCGCCGTAAAACCTCTACTAAAACTAAAACAAAACTGTTGTCTCATCCCAGGGGTGTGTACATGGCCTGCCTGCTGTTCAACGAGGACAGGATACTGGTGACGTCAGAGGAGCAGCTGCCTATCGTGGAGGTGGACGAGACGTTCTCGGGGCCCTCTGTGCAGACTGATCTCTACTGGCTGTTGAAGGTGCGGGAGGAATGATGATGATGATGATGATGATGATGATGATGATGATGATGATGATGATGATGATGATGATGATGATCATGATAACAATAATAATCATAATAATCATAAAAATAATAATGACGATGATAACAACAACAACAACAACAACAACAACAATGCATCTCTATTACGGCCATTCCACACAGTGGCACACAGGTATAAGCTCTGAGCGCTTTCCATCAACCCAGGCTGGGGGTGATATTACCAGAAACGAGCTCATAAACGTCAAACGGCCGGATACCACGCACACACAAACGATCGTAAAGCGAGTCACGTCTCCTCATATCTTTCAGCTGTACACACTATCTATGTTTCTGTCTATCTATCTGGATACACTATCTTTCTATCTATCTAGATACACTACCTATCTAGATACACTATCTATCTAGTGACAAAAACATCACGAATCACTTACTCCCACAGAAGGGACGACATGACTATCCGCCTAATCGTGAAATGCACATCGACTTTGTGTTAAATTAAAACCGCAACAACGTGAAAGTCATACAAAAACCACCGTGGCAGGCGGTGGGACACCGCCAAACTTGCCACTATCAACTCCACGCACGCACGAAAACAAAACAGAAATCCATGCTATCGAAATGAACACCAAAACATTTAGTATTCCACTCTCAATGGACGACAGATAGCGAGCGAATGGGGTCGAGGAGAGGTTAACAATAAATGACTGGTTTTGTGGAGCGGCCCGGGGGGG